GTTCTTTGTGTCTAATTGGGCACTTTGATTTTGGATTTAGGGAATGCCTGCACAAGTTAGGAACTACCATGGTGATGCAATGACATGTTGGGGAGAATGGCTTGAGCCCCTTGTTGTAGTTTAAACGTCACTTTTCTTTCATTTTCCAATGTAATTTTCCGATATAATAATGATAAGGGAATATAAGCCCTCCAATTTCTATTGCCTTTCCTTTATTCATGCTATTGACCAAAAGTGTAGATAGTTACATGATCCTATGCTGTGCAATCAGTTTATGTTTTCCCCGTTACCCCTGATGATGACCAAATCCAATATGCAAAGTGACAATACAACGCAAATGAAAGCTACCATTAATCCCATGTAAACTAGTAAAGATGCAAACCTTATTCATGCAAAATCTAAGTCAACAAACTATGTCAAATGATGTGATGATCTGCATGAAATTAAGGGAAAATGCAATTGCCAAATTCTATAAAATGCCTTGACTAAGCTAAACGGGATTGGTCTAATATGCAAAAAATGAAAATGCTTTACCAAATGAAAATGCAAAATGCAAATGGAATGCAACTCTTTTTTTTTTCCAATATATATATATATATATTTGTACTTTAGAATTATGAACCTAATGCCATGTGAACTAAATTACCTAAATATTCTAAAACTTAAGAGTTGACTCAAATGCTCCTGTTTGCAAATTAAGAAACAAAATTAATTTAAATAAAGAATTAAAATGCAATAATACTAAATGATGCTAAGCCCTGAAATATGCGAAAATGCCAAAGGTGCACATTAAGATTTTTTGGATTTTTCAAATGCAATCTAGATGACTAATTAGCTAATCTAAATTAAAAGTGGACTTAAAAAAGACCAAAATGCCCCAGAACATGCAAGTGACCAAAATGCCCCTGAATAACCCTGATATCATATAAGAAATAGGTTGTTTTAAATTGAACTTTCTAAGACAAAAATGGGTGTCTACAGCTGCCCCTCTTTGCGCATTTTCCGACTGTTGGAAAGTTTGCAAAAGAGCACTTTGTAAACTTTTCAATAATAGGGAAATGTGCAAAGACGTAGACCCCCATTTTTGTGCGTGTTTATTGAGTTTATTTTAGAGTTTCTGAAAGAAAATATAGCTTAAAACAAACTTTTTGAAACCAAACTCTCGAACAGAAACCTCGAGCAGGACCTGAAATAAAACAAAATTTAGAATTGGAGCAAGAAACCCTCGACTAGAAACCTCGATTAGGATTTTAAAAGAGCATGATTTCGGAATTGAAACAAGAAAACTCTCGGCTAGAGACCTCAATTAGGATTTGAAAAGAGCGTGATTTTGGAATTAAAACAAGAAAACTCTCGACTAGAGACCTCGATTAGGATTTGGAAATGAAACAAAATTCAGATTTGAAACAAGAAAACCCTCGATTAGAGACCTCGATTAGGATTTGGAAATGAAACAAAATTCAGAATTGAAACAAGAAAACCCTCGATTAGAGACCTCGATTAGGATTTTGGAAATGAAACAAGATTTAGAATTGAAACAAGAAAAGCCCTCAATTAGAGACCTCGATTAGGATTTGGAAAGGAAACGAAACTTTAGATTTGAAACAAGAAAACCCTCGATTAGAGACCTCGATTAGGATTTTAAACGAAACAGGACTTTAGATTGAACAAGAAACTCTCAACAAGATTTAGATTGAAACAGGAAACTCTTGACTTAGAAACCTAAAGCAGGATTTGAGATGAATAAGAACTTGGGGTTGCAACTCTAATAATATCTCAATAAATGTCATGTGAAAATCATTTCTTTGAAGCAAAATCTATCAAATTTTAAAATGAAGACCCAAGATAGCCCAACATTACCCTTGATTCCTGGTCTTCTCGTTTAAGCCGACAAACTTTGCTCTTACCTTCTTCTTCTCAATATCACACCCTGGATGTCCTTTCTCCAATGATTCCCTTTTTATGGAATGTATGCCCTTCATTGAGTATTTGTCCCACAAGGATCCTATTTTACTTCCAATGTGGACTTCCCCAATTGATAAAATTAAGACTCATGTTCCAGCTTACTTCCTTCCAATGTGGACTTCCTTTCCTTTCATAATTCAAGTTTTCCTCTCAACAGAAAATGTATGTAAAAAGAAATGTAATACACAATATTAATATTAAGGAAGAAATAAATGTATATAAAAAGGCTTTTCTTGCAATAAGAGGAATAGTTCATAAGCAAAAATGTTGAAGTAATAACAAATATATAAAGAAATAGAGTTGACCGCATGGCGATGAATACTCTGACGATTTTGAATGATGGATAATTCCCTTGCATTTCAATTGGTCCTGTGTGTAAATTCTTCTTCTTTTTTGGTCATCACTGGTAGCTCTGAACTGCTCACTCACCCTTTCGACCTCACAAGAAGATTGAGCAAGATTCCACTGTCAATGCCTTTCCATCCTTCACTTGAGCCGCCCTTTCGGATTTTCAGCTCAAGAACCCCCATTGGATTCAGGCAGCCCTTTGCGGGTTTTCAACTTGAACCCCTCCTTTTATTTATTTATCTTTTTCCGACCTCTTTCTATTTTAGGCCAAGTTTTTTTTTCGACCACTTTCTATTTTAGGCCAAGGTTTTTTTTTGGCTTTCCCCTCTTAGGCATAGTATTTCTTCACCGCATTCGAATTAATTGGACTTGGTAATTCATCCCCATCCATCTTTTGCAGAATTAAAGCACCTCCAGAAAATGCCTTCTTTACAACATATGGCCCTTCCCAATTTGGTGCCCATTTGCCCATTGGATCTCGTTGCTCAGAAAGAATTTTCTTCAACACTAATTCTCCTTCTTTGAACTGCCTAGGATGCACTTTCTTGTTGAATGCCCTTATCATCCTCTTCTGATATGCTTGTCCATGACACAGGGCGTTCATTCTTTTCTCTCCTAAAAGATTCAACTGATCATATCTTTCTTGTTCCCATTCTGATTCCTCCAGCTTAACTTCACGGTACACCCTTGATGAAGGAATCTCTACTTCAATTGGCACTACTGCTTCCATCCCATACACCAGAGAATAAGGAGTTGCCCCTGTGGATGTTCTGGCACAAGTCCTATAGGCATGCAGAGCAAAGGGCAGTTTTTCATGCCAATCTCTATAAGTTTCTGTCATCTTCCGTATAATGTTCTTGATGTTCTTGTTTGCTGCTTCCACTGCGCCATTCATTTTCGGACGTCTTGGGGCAGAATTGCTATGGGTGATTTTAAACTGAGCACAAGCAGCCGCAATTAGCTTGCCATTCAAATTCATTGCATTGTCAGTTATGATTCTTTCAGGCAGGCCATATCGGCAAATAATTTCCTTCTTGATAAATTTGAGGACCACTGATTGTGTTATGCTAGAATAAGATGAAGCCTCCACCCACTTGGTAAAGTAGTCAATTGCCACTAAGATAAATTGATGACCATTTGAAGCCTTAGGATTTATAGCCCCGATCACATCTATGCCCCACATTGAAAATGGCCATGGAGATACCAAAACATGAAGTGGATTAGGGGGAGTGTGTATCTGATCTGCATGTATCTGGCATTGGTGACATCTTCTTGCATAATTGATACAATCAGTCTCCAAAGTTAACCAATAATACCCTGCTCTCATAACTTGCCTGGCCATTTTATGCCTGCTAGCATGACTTCCACAAATTCCCTCATGCACTTCCTCTAGTATCCTTTTAGCTTCCGCCGAGTTCACACATCTTAGCAAAACCTGATCTCGGCTGCTCTTATACAATACTTCCCCATCCAAAAAATAACCCAATGACATTCGCCTAATCACCCTCTTATCATTGCCAGTAGCATGCTCTGGATATTTCTGATGCTTAAGATATTGTACGATATCATAATACCAGGGATTCCCATCTGGCTCCTCTTCCACACTCATAACATGGGCTAGTGTTTCTTTCAAACTCAACTTAATTGGCGGTATATTCACACCTCCTCTAAATTTAAACATAGCGGCCAACGAAGCCAGAGCATCAGCCAACTGATTTCCTTCTCGTGGAACATAATGGAAGGAAATGTCTTCAAATTGTTCCATTAGCTCCAGTAGGTATTCCCGATAAGGGATCAACTTAGAATCCCTTTTTTCCCATTCTCCTTTCATTTGATATACCACCAAGGCTGAATCACCATTGACTTCTAAAACTTTGACTTTCTTTTCAATAGCCATCTGAATTCCAAATACACACACCACATATTCTGCAATATTGTTTGTGCACGGGAAGTCTAGCCTTGCCGTAGCTGGGAAATGGTCCCCGTCTGGTGAAACCAATACAGCACCAATTCCATGCCCCAACATATTAGATGCTCCATAAAAGTACACATTCCATTTTGTTGACTCCTCTGAAACCTCATTCCCGACATTCATTACAGCCATGAGATCTTCATCCGGGAATTCAAATTTTACAGGCTCATAATCATTACTCGCTCTGTCTGCCAGAAAATCTGCCACGACGCTTCCTTTTATGGCTTTTTGGGATACATACACTATATCATATTCGGACAAGAGTACTTGCCACCTTGCAATTCGACCAGACAAACCAGGCTTCACAAAAATATATCGGAGGGGATCAAGTCTGGCTACCAACATCGTAGTGTGGTATAGCATGTATTGCCTTAACCTCTGGGCTGCCCATGCCAATGCACAACACATTTTCTCCAGTGGGGAATAATTTGATTCGTATTCTGTAAATTTCTTGCTCAAGTAATAAACTGCATGCTCTTTTCTTCCTGACTTTTCTTGTTGGGCCAGAACACAGCCCATAGACTTTTCAAATACTGTCAAATACAAGATCAAAGGCCTTCCTCGTTCTGGGGCATCAAAACAGGTGGGTTTAATAGATACTCCTTTACTCTCTCAAATGCAGCCTGACATCATCATCCCATTCACCTGGATTATTCTTCCTAAGTAACTTAAAGATGGGGTCACACTTTGCTGTTAACTGGGATATGAAACGAGCTATATAATTCAATCGTCCTAGAAACCCCCTCACTTCCTTTTGGGTTCTAGGTGGAGGCAAATTCTGAATTGCTCTAACTTTATCAGGATCTACTTTTATTCCATTCTGGCTCACTACAAAACCCAACAACTTTCCAGATGTTGCCCCAAATGTACACTTGGATGGATTCAACTTGAGCTGGTACTCCCGGAGTCTTTGGAACAACTTTCTCAAATTCACTAAATGCTCCTCTGGTGAGTGGGCTTATGCAATCATGTCATCCACATATACCTCTATTTCTTTGTGCATCATATCATGGAACAAAGTAACCATTGCTCTCTGATAAGTGGATCCCGCATTTTTCAGTCCAAACGGCATGACTTTATAAAAAAACGTGCCCCATGCAGTCACAAAAGCAGTCTTTTCTTTGTCTTCGGGCGCCATCTTAATTTGGTTGTATCCAGAAAAGCCATCCATGAAGGAGAACAATGAATGATGAGCTATATTGTCCACCAAAATGTCAATATGAGGCAGTGGGAAGTTATCTTTAGGGCTGGCCCTATTTAAATATCGGTAATCTACACACATTCGCACCTTTCCATCATTTTTCGGAACTGGAACAATATTAGCCTGCCATTCGGGATATCTAATCTCCTCAAGAAAACCGGCATCAAACTGTTTCTTGACCTCTTCTTTTATTTTCAAAAGCATATCCGGCTTCATCCTTCTTAAATTTTGTTGTACAGGCTTGCATTCAGGTCTAATCGGTAATCTGTGAACTGCTACCTCAGGATTCAGCCCCCGGCATATCCTGATACGACCATGCGAAAACATCTGCATACTCTTAAAGCAATTCTACTAACTGTTGTCTGTCTTCTGGCGTCAAAGTAGTGCCAATCTTTACTTCTCTCCTATTCTCCTCTGTACCCAAATTTATCAATTCAGTGGATTCTTTATGAGGCTGGATTTGCCTATCTTCTTGCTCAATCAATCTCATGAGGTCTGAGGGTAGCACTGAGTCCTCGGCATATTCCTCAGCCATATCATTATTACACACAGGCCTTTCGAAAATATTTGCAGGGCTATCCGGTTCGTCTTTGCATTCATTGCCAGTTGGCCTGCGAAAGAAATGAAGAGAATATATATGTATAGAGAAATAATAAAGTATAAGTAGATAAATAAATATATGTAAACAAAATGGAATGAATGAGAGGAAAACTTGAACATGCATTCGACTTCATTACTCATCATAACAAAGAGAACATGATTTGAATAACATCCATGATCATGAAAATGAGATTCAATCACATTTTTAGGGAAAAGATATTAAAACTTTAAAGAGTCTGATTACATTTCATTGTTGATAACAACAGGAAACTCAAACTCAGTCCAATTGACCTCCTCTGATCCTGACTCTGCTGGGTAAATCCATGGGCACCTGTCCTCTGACCCATCCTCCACTGCATTAACTGACAACTCCATAAACTTTCCTCTGACAGCTGAAACTTCAGTGGCCAAATGAAGGGCATCTATCTTCTTTGATGAGTTCTCCCAACCAGCTGACCTGAAAGTGTGATACAGGGGAGGAAACTCCATTTTGCCTGCTTCATATGGCTCTCCTTTAAGTCTGGCTATCCTTCTTTGTTTCATTTTTTCTTTTGACTCAACTCGATCCTTCCAAACTGGCTTAAAACCCAGGCCAAAAGTATAAGCATACTTTGGTGTAGAAATGGCTTCCCCAATTCCTTGAAGTCTTTTTCCTAAACCGCATCCAACCTTCCACCCTTTCCCAACCAACTGCTTTAGCTGCATCATCCAATTCTTGGTGACATGAGGCCTGGGTAACTTTCCTCCCTTAACATGAGTCACTTCTGCAACTTCGAAAGAGCGATAGGAATCCTCCACACTCTCCTCTGTAGCTTCCACATATGGGGTGTTGTGAGTTTGCGTAGCTCTAATGTCTTTTTCTGCTTTGATCTCTATCAGCTTATTCTCCACTCGAAACTTAACCGCTTGGTGCAAGGTGGATGGTACAGCCCCCGCCATATGAATCCAGGGTCTTCCTAATAAACAAGAGTATGAGGGACTTATATCCATTACTTGGAAAGTCATCAAGAATTCAACCCCTCCTATTTCCATCTGAATCTCAATATCACCCCTCACGGAGCGGGTAGTTCCATCAAAAGCTCTCACCATCATATTGTTTGGTTTAATGTAGGAAAGATCTACAGATAGTTTCTCCAGTGAATGATACGACATGATATTTAGGGTCGACCCATTATCAATCAGAATTCTACCGACATGAAACCCATTGCACCCAACTGATATGTATAGAGCTTTCAAGCTATTCCTTCCTCCTTCGGGAATGTCCTCATCAGTGAAGGTAATGTGTCCCGCAGTTATGCTCCCCACAATATGATCAAGATTCTCCACTGTGATTCCTTACTCCACATAGACTTGACCTAATACCCGAAGTAAGGCTTTCCGATGTGCTTCTGAATTGAACAACAAAGATAGGATGGAAATTCTAGCAGGCATCTTGTTCAATTGATCTACCACACTGTACTCACTATGCCTGATAATCTTAAGAAACTCACAAGCTTCCTTCTCTGTAAAGCATGGCTTCCCTATTTCCCCTTGAGCAGATGATTGGCCTTGTTCCATCACTGGCGGCTTATCCACAGGACATCCTTTCTCAAACTCCTCATCTCTCCGTATTGGTTCCTTCATAGGTTGTGAATAGCAACGACCACTTCTAGTCATTCCTCCAATCCCAGTTATGTTGGCTGAATCCGTTTGAACTTCTGCTGTTTGAGGGGACACATTAACATCATATCTCCAAGGCACACAAGGTGAGTACTTCATAGGCAAAAGGCTTAGGTGAGTTGACCATCATGTGTTGCGGCATTACTGTAGGAGGCTTTGGTATAAAGGGTCGTACCATTGGGATTGTGGGTACGAAGGGTGATGGTGGCAACCTGGTGGGCAAAGTGGGAATAAACGGCTTTGGCTTTTCTTCCTCTATCACCACATTGACATCCTCCATCGGAACTTCAATATAGAACTAAATTCGGGACTTATCCATCAACTTCTGGACTAAAGCCTTGAACACTTTGCAATCCTGTATTGCATGAATTCTATGCATGGGACATGCTCCATTACTAACCCGATCCCCATATTGCCCTGGCTCCATCATGTCGGCCTTCACTAACGCCTTGTATACTGTTTCCATAGGGGTGACATCTTTGTGGACGTCCCTTATCACAATCTCCCCGCCACATATAGCATTGACCTAGCCTCCATTGTGATTAGGTAGTGGATTACCTGTAGTATTTGGCTGTTCTACCTTGGGAAAATTAAGCTTTCCACTTTTCACTAAAGCTTGCACCTCCTGCTTCAATCTAAGGCAATTCTCAGTTGAATGTCCTTGGGCCCCACAATGAAAGTCGCAATAAGCGTTAACATCATACCATGCAGGAAATGGCGGCTGCAGAGGACGCTGATACTGAACCCGACGGACCAAATTCTGTTGGACCAACTGTGGTAGCAGCTTTGAATATGTATATTGGTCAGCTTGGCGGAAGGTAGCCCTTGGAGGGAAAGCTTGACCAATAGGTTGTGGTGTAAGTACTGCCGATTGTTGATTTGGTATTGGCGCCCTATAAGAAGCGCCCCCAACATTGTTGACTAGCTGATAAGAGTATGGAGCCGGTGTTGGTGGACGATAGTAGTTCATCGGGCTCTGAGTAGGTTGTTAGTAGTTGTAGGCGGGAGGTGGATAATATGGTCCATAGGAACCTTGAGGCTGGTACCCCACCTGATTGACACTACTAACTTCCTCTTTCTTCTTTCCAGTCGTCCCCTTTTTAGCCTCATCTGGGACTACAATCTTCCCGGACTTAATGCTATTATCAAGCTTCAGTCCTACCACCACAATCTTCGCAAACGGTTCACCCGACATGTTGAAAAGCTTATCATAGAAGATCGACTTCTGAGTGTCAATGAAAAGCCCGAAAATTTCTGATTCCCCTATTGTCGGCCTGACCTGGGCAGCCATATCCCTCCAACGTTGAGCAAACTCAGTGTAGCTTGTCGCAACGTCCGGGTCCGGGGGGTACCGAACCCTACCGCTGAACGACTTAATAGAACTAAGGAGTCACCACTAATTTTTTTTTTTAACCTAGGTGTGATTAGCCACCTATCCCATTATTAAGTCTAATATTAACCTATGCTCGACAAAGGTAATACTAAACCTAATAAGGTGTACTTAACCAGAGATTCTATGGTCCGGGAGTCGGGTACGCGTGGGGAAGGATTAACACCCCCACGACGCCCGTCAAAAGACGGCACTGACTAGTTCAGAACTACTGTGGGTTTCTATTATTGGTTGTCTGTATTCCTAAATCCTAAGCCAAAAAATAAGCAAAAATAGGTTTTTAGATTTTTGAAATAGGAATGTTGGGAACTTTCCCATTTACTATTTTGTTCTCTTTTTGGGCTCCTCATGAGAGGATTTTCTTTAAAACTTACCTTTAAAACGACTCAATTTTTCTTGAAAACTGTTATTCGTCGGGAACTTTCCCTTCTTTTGAAAATTTTGAGAAAAAGACTCTTTTTGGTTAATTGATTTTTGTCTTTCGAAAAACCAAAGAGAACAAATGCAAGCACAAACTCTTTTTTTTTTTTAATTTTCGAAAAAAAAGTTTTTATTCTTTCTCTCTTTTTTTGGGTTTTGTTAGCAACTAATTCTTAACTGACTCAATCACCCTGAATTAAGCCATTTTATTTTCCCTAATCCCTGCTTCTTACTAAACTTAATTACCCTAAATTAAGTTACTTATTGAACTACTTAATTACCCTGAATTAAGTTATTCATTAACTCACTTAATTTCCTTGAATTAAAGTTGATTACTGACTCACCTGATTACCCTGAATTAAGTTGATTACCGACTCACTTAATTACCCTGAATTAAGTTAATTACTTAATTACTTAATTACCCTGAATTAAGTTAATTACTTAATTACTTAATTACCCTGAATTAATTTGATTACTCAATTACTTAATTACCCTGAATTAAGTTGATTACTTAATTACTTAATTACCCTGAATTAAGTTGATTACCCAATTACTTAATTACCCTGAATTAAGTTGATTACTTAATTACCCTGAATTAAGTTGATTACCGACTTGCTTAATTACCCTGAATTAAGTTGCTTATTACTGATTCACCTTTTCTTACTTCTTAAATCCTGGTCTCAATCTCTTTTTTTTGAACTTTTATCTTTGAAGACCAAAAAGAAGACAATTTTCCGACACAAACTCTTTTTATATACTGAAGAAAATAACTTTATTAACCCCTTTTCAATTTCCCCTTTTTTTGGATTTTTCCTATTAATTATTTGAAAATTACTAAGTCTAACTCTAGATGCATGAATGCACATGATGCATGATTTCCAGTTAAAATGCAATTTTTAACAGGTGATTATACGAGAGGCATCATTTTGGGCACCTTCCACTTGAATGGTAAGACCCCCAAATAAATGCCTCAAGCCTAGGAAGTTCGGATTAAAATGGACAATTCTGTCGACATTTCCACCTGATTATTCCATCATCGGAGTCCCTTTACTTTTCAAAAATGAGTATGGCATAATCAATGAGGAAACATAAATATTAAAGATAAATATGGATGCACATGAAACTTGCTTAACTTCTAAGTTCGAATTATTCCAAAAATCTATATGAATTGAAATTAAACCTTAAGCAAAACCTTAAGCCCACATACTAATAAAAAGACCAAACCCAAGTATACAAGGCCCAATGCACTAAGAAGCCCAAACAATATCAAGGTCCCAAAATCCAAAACCTAATTTACTAATTTCAAAAATGCATTTTTTCTTAATTACTTATATAAAAATTACTAAGCACTTTATTCTCAAATTCTAAATAAATCTATTTAATACATGTATTATCTATAAAAGGTCATTCCTTTATAATCATTCAGACTAAATAGTATTAATCTAACCTAAAATTAAACTGACAAGCACCAAATTGAACTAATTTAAACTAAAAGGACCAAATCAAACCAACGTAGGGAATTAATTGAAAACGGAACAAAATAAATGCATTTAAAGGCACACTCTTGCGAATTTTGGGACCTGATTGATTTAAAATAAGGACTAAATTGAATAAAAAAATAAATGTGACGCATGCAATTAGAATAAGACCCGAAACTAAGGAGGACTATAAATACAACTTAAATCTCATTTTCAGAGTACCTCAAACCCTAGAGTAGCGCCGCCGCCGCTTAGCCTCGCCGGAAATCGTTTCCTACGGTGGAGCCGCCGCCTGAACCCTCGCCGGAGATGTATTTGCGGCTGTAAATTTCCAGATCGGCTTGCCTCGTCGTCCTCTTAACGGATCTGGTATCGATCTCGCATAAACCCGCCGTCAAGCACCTCAAACAACCACTTGCCGAACTTGCTTAACGGTGGTTGGATCTCTGAATCCCGCTGCCGGATTGGGCCAAATCTCAGATAAGTTTCTCTCCTTTCTTTTCTCTATGTTTCCACCGAATCCATTGTTGAATCCAAGCTTTTAAATTATCAAATCCCTAACTCTTATAAACCCTAGTTCTAAACAAGACCCCTTTTTTTTTTTGCAGTAAAGAAAAGAGAAAGATGCGAAGATGGGAACAAGGAAGGAAAGACAGGGGACTTTCGCAAGAAAAGTAAAAAAAAAAATCCTATCTTTTCTGTTTTCTGGTTTCTTGTGGAGTGAAGAAAAACGATTTTTTTTTGTTTTCTGGTTATCTTTGTAAAAGAGAAAAGAAAACTAAGATTCAGTGACGTTTTTTGTTTTCGATTGCTAAAAAAAATGAGGACTGCCAGAGAAAAGGAAAAACTCAGAACTAGGGTTTTTCTTTTCTGGAATCGGTGTAGGAGATGAAAAAAAAAGATGGCTAGGTTTTCTTTAATCTGTGTCTCTGATTCTGCCCCCTTTTTCTTAATGAAAATATCCTATATATATCTGTCCTAAAATCTCATTTTCACCGTATGTTGATTTGCTAACCCTACTATTCTTTTCTTCCACTTTTGCCCAATTTGTCTCTTATTGATTATGAATTGACAATGTATGTACATCAGTGTTTGAGTCTGACTATGCCCTTTATTTGTCTCTTAGTGCAGGTGGCCTTGGTTGCAAACGTGTGGAGCGATTGCAGTGAAGTTCCTTGTTTTTTGTCTGTATCCACAGGTATGAGTTGCTGCTGCTAGTGACAGGGCCCTAATTGCCAGTTATGCACTCCTCTATTTTTTGCCAGTAATGAATTAAGCTGCTGAGGTGGACCAATAAAAACTCTTCAAGGTATAACTCTTTTGCTTTGCTTTGATTTCCTTCTTATAATGCACTAATCTTCTTTAATATTCGAATGGAAATGCTCTGCTTTGCTTTGTTGGATTTGCTGAGGAAACTGCCTGTTTGAATGCCACTGCTTTGTAAATGGTCATCTCGCATTCTCTCTCCAAACTTTTGGACTTAGATTCCATGCTGCTGTATTTGCTTCTTCTTGGCCTTGTATCTGCTGGAAAAATCCTTGAATATATGCACCTTACTGCTGCTTTTCATTTAACTAAGAATGACTCTCCCCTGAATTATTTGAAGATGTTTTGTGATGCTCTCTGTTTACACCTGAATTTCCTGCTGAAATGCCCATTATTCTCTTTTAAATGCTGCTGAATAGCTCTGTTTCTTTCCTTGTGCTTGCTTCAATTTACCATGTGATGAATTGTCCTATGCGCATTGAGATGTTGTTATTGCCTTATTGCCTTGTGAATTGTGTACTGCCATTCTGTTTTTTTTTTGTTTTTGGCACACATTCTGTCAATTTGCCACTGTTCTCTTCTGGGTTTCCTTGCACTCAATACTTTCGTTGCTCATGTGTGTGCCTTGCCTGTTTTGTAAATGTTGTCTGTATCTGTCCATGTGATCCTCTAATTTGTTTGAGTGATTGCTGAGGTGTTATTGATGTGTGCTTGTAAATGCCTTGCTTGCTGTTTTCTCTTTCTCATCATTTCCAAGGTTGTATGGGAGTTCAGGGATCAGAAATCAATTCTGAATCCCTTTCCCAATTCAGCCAAGAGCAGAAAAATAGCCTTCATGTTTGCATGTTGTTTCCCTTGTGTGCATTATGTTATGAAGCTCTTGATGGGCCTGCTTGCTTTCCTCTACTTTGTGCTTTCTAACCTAGTTGCCCTTTCCACCATTCTTCTCATGCATAGCCCTGCACATGAGGTCTTTTAAAAGACCTTCAACGTTCGGGTGCATGCTTGTTTGATAGCCTTTACACGTTCCTCTGTTGTGTTTCATGTACTGCATTGCCTTTGCATTCTATTTAAGCCCTCCGACTCTCTTCTCAGCTCACATCAATCGATGGTGTTTAGCTTTGAATTTGGGGGCTACATTTATATTCTGCACAATACCCTTCTCTTTTCATCATCTGACAAGGTTGGATCAAATGCGTCAAAAGCACCAAGCACGGGAAAGGGAAAATGAAAGATGATCCCACCAAAGTCAAGCTCCCAACCTTGTAACCAAAAGAAAGCCCATGTACTTGTAAACCAAAGCTACTGGCCTTGTCATCTTGTAAATGCAACCTCACTACCTTAATCATCATTTTCTGTATTTTACTCATGTAAATGTACTTTAAATAAATCCCACTAAAGATTGAAATGCATGACTACGACCTACATGTGCCACTAGTCACCCAAATGACTAATTAAACAAGGAGAATGATATGCCTAACCAAAAAATGCTAAATGTGATGGACATGTTTAATGGACACAGGCTACCAAGTATCCATATAATTAACAAACAAGTGAAAATAAGTATGACCAAGCTTAATAAGAAATGAAAATGAAAATGGATATGTACATGACTAATGTGACTAATGGGAAGATATGACTATGACCAATACAACTAATGGGAACATGATACCCTATGAAAGTGAAAATACCAATTGCAAACTAGGCCCACCTTAATGTGAAGAAGATATCCAAGGT